CACACACACACACACACACACACACACACACACACACTGCTGTCCAGATGTTCTGCGTCATATTATCCTTCATCATGTTTCCAAACATAAATATTTACAGGAGGCAACTGTCCATCTTCTCTCACAGAATCGTTAGCAGATTCAAATCCTTAGATTTTTTATTAGTAGCATAACACATGACAGGTTCTGTCACTAGAATTAACTTCACTTAATCAACTTCATAATTGTGAACATTTTCCAAGAGTCTTGAGTGGCCATTGCAATGGATTACTGGGCCAGCAGCAGAATAACTAGATCCAGAGGAGGAGCAGTTATTGTTAGAATGTGTAGAAAAGTGTGGGAATGTGACTTCAAAGGAATTGGTTTTGTGCTATTGATGGTAATTGAAACTGTTTCCTGTTATGGAGTTGTTACATACCATCGAGTTGAGTGACAGTGAACAACAGATCTGAAGTCTGTCCTATTCTGTGCCACCCTCACAATCTCTGACAAACTCAAGCCCATTGCTGCAGTAACTGCGTCAATTCATGTAACTGATAGTCTTTCTCTTTTTTGCTGACCCTCAACCATTCCAAACATGATATCCTTTCCAAGGAGCAACCTTTTATGTGAGATGAAGTTTTATCATCTTTGTCTCCAAGTAGCACTATGAATGTACCTTCCCCCTGATATATTTATTTGTTCCTTTGGAAGTCCATGAAATCCCCAGCACTCTTCTCCAACACCATAACTCAAAGGCATTAATTCTTCTTCTGTTATCCTTAGTCACTGTCCAGCTCTAAGACACATAGTAGATAATTGAAAAGACCATGGCCTGTATCAGGTGCACCTTAGTCTTCAAACTGACATCATTGTTCTTCAATAAATTTTTTAAGTAAGCAGTTACTTTAAAAAATTATTCTGATTTCTTTATAGCTTGAATACATTGTTTTTCATAAAAGATCCTTCCCATTTCTGTCACCCTACCCACCTTTTAATTGTGCAAACCTATGATTGATATCCTACCTCCCCATCCTCCTCTTTCAGTTTCTACCCTCTCCCCCACCCTTGGATCATCAATTCTACAATAATGGTTTTAACAATATTTGTCCTTGTGTGACTGAGTTAGTTCACTCAGCATAATTCATTCCAGTCTCTCCCAAGTTAGGTAGTAATGTACAAAATGATTGCTCCTGTGTGCTGTGTAGTAGTATTCCATGGTATGACTGTATCACAACTTCTCAGTCCATTTGTTTGTGATTGAACATCTGGGCTGTTTCCATGTTCTTGTGACAGTCAATAAT